ATTATCATTCCAGGACTTACATCTCGTCTGAAATCAGTTCAATCTTTCCCTACACCAGAGGTGTATTGTGGCCCCGGTCTGTCACGTGAAGATACTAGGGCAGTGCTTTCATAAACTACGCTACTTAACCCAGAAAACGAAAGGAAAGTGTTAGGTGTGATTTAGGTAGAGCAACCAGATACGTTAGAAAACGTTTTCACCAATTTATTCAGACGTTGTATGGAACGTTAGAAAACTACGATGTGCATTTGTTGGTAAAACTGAAGTTGTAGTAAACTAACATTTACATTATAGGAAATGCTTTATAAAAAGGAATATATAAAAACCGTCTTAATTCAAGTAGAAAATATATGAAATCCATTTGAATCAGTAAGGGTTCAGTACCCCCCCCCCCATGAATAGATAAATATAATTAAGGATCTAATTCTTTTAAACATCCACACCACTACCATACAATGTACACATTCTAGTTAAATCAAACCAATAATCCATATTTCAAACAACATAACATCTTTAGCTTCACAAAAAATAAAGGAAATTTATGTTATTAATTATTAACATCAACACAGATTTAAAACAATGTAATTGATTGAAAAGTATACTTTCATACAAAGTTTAATCAAATCAAACCAATTCAATGTGGTGTTCACAACTTAAACCTCACAAAAACAATTTCATCAAATCATTATAATATTGCTCATAAGCAAACAGAATGGAAATTTTATCACTTGGTTGTCTCAGTTTGTGGGTCAAAGTTTAAACAAACAAAACAGCCCCACACATTTTGATATTTAATTTTGAAAGAAAGGGCTAAAAACAAAAGCAAGTTTTACATCAGTCTCTTGTGAAAACATGAATCATCCAATGGGACCATTATAAAAGTTGAAAAAAAAAATGAAAATATATTAATGCTAATATCAGTGTTGCCTGATATAAAACTGATCTAATACCAGAAAGCTTTTAACTTGATGTGCTACACTCTAATTATTTCTCTGATCCAAATTACTGCCCAGTTTTAAGTCACTTGAGAAGAAAAACATGTCTCAGGCCCTATTCCCGTACCTAGATCGATCTAGCAGGATCGACCCATCTCCAAAGGGTTTCTCACTAAAGTACATTCAGCTTAAGTGGCTCTGATGTCTGGCACGCCTACTGTAGCTGTAAGAGGGTAATTAACTATCATTTAACAGCTTCAGTAGGTGTGCCAGACATCTAAGCTGCTTAATCAGAATGTAATTTAATGAGAATCCGGAGAATACGGGGAGGGGTCGATCCTGCTAGATTGATCTAGGTATGGGAAAGGGTCTAAGTTAATCTACGGGTCAAGATTTGTATTTGATGAACTGAACCAGATTTGTCCTTGCTGTCACATTGATAGGAATGTGGGCCCCCAAGCTGCTTTTCTGTTGATGAATCTGGAAAATTTTCACAATATTCCTTCAAAAGATATCCATTGCTTTAATTGATCAATATGCCTTTAAATAAAGATATTATTACACTGTAAAAAATATATATTAAATACCCAACTGCAGGAATCATTTTAGTAAGCAAATGTGACATTTTTTTTATGTTGTCCGCTATGCAGATGATAGAACTGCTGCTGATATAGGTCTATATTTGTTTTGATAAATAAATAAATAAATAAATAAATAAATAAATAAAACCACAGGGAGCAGTTTTACCTCAGCTGTCAGCTGTGGCACCATATGGTCTGGAGTTTGTCTGTCACCCTGATCTCCATGACAACAGGTCCAGATGATCAACGATGGCGTCCAGAGTCTCAGTAACCACCCATAATTACAAGAAATGTGCCAAAAATCTGAAGTGAAAAATCAACTAAACAACAAATCTGACATTGATCATAGATTTGCAAGAACTCTTACTGAGTGCAACCAGCTGAAGTGAATGACATGCCTCAACATACTTGCATAATCAGAAGCTATTTTGTATTCTATTCAATGCCTGCAGAGGCATGTCATTCAATTAAGCTGATTGCACTTTGCGAGAGTCCAGTCACAGAGTTGGATCACTCTATGTAGACCTATGGTGTCTGTGAGAATAAGCCCAGAGAGAGAATATAAAGACACAAATATAGTGCCTGTATATAAACACACATTAAACACATATCTTCTATGCTGTTAGTATGGAGCAGATTCAGTGGCATCTATAGGCCACAGAGATGACACAAGAATTGTAAAATTCTTTTAAAAAATCAGATATTTTCACCTCAACAGGTATTTTCACCTCAACAGGTATTTTCACCTTCCACCTTACTATAATAGTAGTAAAATGTGTTTTTCATTGTTTCAATCATTTTTGTTTGGTTTGGTTTTTCTGGCCAGCCATCAATACTACTGTGTCTGTACTCTTTCAATATTTTAATCTATCAACTGAACACAACCATTCATTAACACTGGCAGTATGAGTAAACCATCATCATATTTACATAAAACCCAAATATTAACACTGGCATTATGAGTAAACNGACGGGTCAAGATTTGCATTTTATGAACTGAACCAGATTTGTCCTTGCTGTCACACTGATAGGAATGTGGGCCCCCAAGCTGCTTTTCTGTTGATGAATCTGGAAAATTATCACAATATTCCTTCAAAAGATATCCATTGCTTTAATTGATCAATATGCCTTTAAATAAAGATATTATTACAATGTAAAAAAATACATTAAATACCCAACTGCAGGAATCATTTTAGTAAGCAAATGTGACATTTTTTATGTTGTCCACTATGCAGATGATAGAACTGCTGCTGATATAGGTCTATATTTGTTTTGATAAATAAATAAATAAATAAATAAAACCACAGGGAGCAGTTTTACCTCAGCTGTCAGCTGTGGCACCATATGGTCTGGAGTTTGTCTGTCACCCTGATCTCTATGACAACAGGTCCAGATGATCAACGATGGCATCCAGAGGCTTAGTAACCACCCATAATTACAAGAAATGTGCCAAAAATCTGAAGTGAAAAATCAACTAAACAACAAATCTGACATTGATCATAGATTTGCAAGAACTCTTACTGAGTGCAAACAGCTGAAGTGAATGACATGGCTCAACATACTTGCATAATCAGAAGCTATTTTGTATTCTATTCAATGCCTGCAGAGGCATGTCATTCAATTAAGCTGATTGCACTTTGCGAGAGTCCAGTCACAGAGTTGGATCACTATAAGTAGACCTATGGTGTCTGTGAGAATAAGCCCATAGAGAGAATATAAAGACACAAATATAGTGCCTGTATATAAACACACATTAAACACATATCTTCTATGCTGTTAGTATGGAGCAGATTCAGTGGCATCTATAGGCCACAGAGGTGACACAAGAATTGTAAAATTCTTTTAAAAAATCAGATATTTTCACCTCAACAGGTATGGTCAGTCTATAATAGTAGTAAAATGTGTTTTTCATTGTTTCAATTATTTTTGTTTGGTTTGGTTTTTCTGGCCAGTCATCAATACTACTGTGTCTGTACTCTTTCAATATTATAATCTATCAACTGAACACAACCATTCATTAACACTGGCAGTTTGAGTAAACCATCATCATATTTATATAAAACCCAAAAAGGTTATAAAATACTGATTCATATACTATTAATTCACGTTATAAAATAAAATGATATCTATTAGTACATCAACCTTTAGACATAGCAAATATTAAGACTGGGTTCCCATTCCTAGATCAATTATTAATCTAACAGGATCGATTCATCTCCAAAAGGTTTCTTGCTCAATTGCTTTCAGCTTAAGCAGCTTAGATGTCTGGGATGCCTACTGAAGCTGCTAAATGATAATTATATACCTCCTAGCAGGTTCAACAGGCGTGACAGACATCTAAGCTGTTTAAGTTGATTGCAATTTAGCGAAAATCCCCTTGGAGATAGATCGATCCACAGTTAGTAAGATAGGGTCTGGGAATGGTCCCTAGGACCACATCACTTTTCCAAATGACATACCTGTATCGGTACATGTACCTATAGGGGGTACCTTGACAATATGGCCATGACAATAAATGATATGACATACCTGTATCGGTACATGTACCTATAGGGGGTACCTTGACAATATGGCCATGACAATAAATGATATGACATGCCTGTATCGGTACATATACCTATCTGGGGGACCTTAGCAATATGGCCATGACAATAAATGACATGACATGCCTGTACTGGTACATGTACCTATCTGGGGTACTTTGACAATATAACCATGACAATAAAAAAGTTTGGGGTGTTCTATGGAGAGAGGTTTAAGTGAATAAATATTAAAAATGAAGTTATTAGACCAAGTGTTAGTTTTATCTGAGGGTGTATATTTGCAATTTAAAAAAAGACATAGACTTCTACCAGATGTGTTATGAACTAAAAATAATTGTATATCATTTAGAAGTAGTGGAGTCAATTATGGTAATAACTCAGAAGTTAAGCTGTTCTTTGGATCTTCTATAACACTAAGAAAACAATTTAAAAGCTGTGCAATGGAGTTGCCCATTTTAAAGCAGGAATTCATCTTAACTTATTTCAAAGTGATAAAACAGAGGGCTGTGCTTATTGTTTTTGCAAACCCATGACTCACCTGCATAAACACCTTGTCAGTGTTGACATTATCTAGGTCTCTGAACTCTGTGCTAAAGTAGATCATCACACAGCCCTTCTTTATATCCACATAATGATACCTACAGATTTTATATCAATTCTTGAATTAATCATTGTTTTCATTTAAATAAGTCATGAATTTGGGAAATTATCCAATAATTTATTTAATATAGATTTTACAAAATAAATCATTATCAACTGCCTCAATCAATAAATGGAATAACTATTTGACAATTTTTCTGAAAGATATCTTTTCTGTACACTAATTAATATTTAAAAATGTTAAGCTGACAGTGAGGAGTTACCAGTCTTACAGTTATATTATGCAATTTTGTATTTGCCAATAGCTTCCATATTTTCCATTAATAACATGGTTTCCTCACCTCTGCTATTGATCACAGCTCCCTTTTAGCCTACCTCCTCTTTTTCTTGGAATTCAAAGACTTTTCTAAATACAGAATCCTTCATGGCTACCTCTGGCCAATCACAGGGAATATCTTCTTCATCATGGACTTATGAAACATTGCAGCCTGAAAATATATAAATGACTACATTAAAATTATAACACTTAGCCAATTTTCACTTAGCCAATTTTCATAAAAATGAAAAGAAAGGGAACTTATATATCTTTAGACTACAAAGCCAAGGTATCTGTTAGAATGCGGCAATGGTGTGTGTGTGTGTGTGTGTGTGTGTGTGTGTGTGTATATATGTGTGTGTGTGTGGACATGTGTTTGGGCATGAATGCTTGTTTTACTTCTGAAATCATATGAGTACCAGTAAATTAATAATGAAAATGTTTTTCCTGTCCACCTTCCAAAAATCACCCATTTTAAACTTTAAGCCAGCAGAGTGCAGGACCTGTAGGATATTGTGATCCCTTTACCCCACCAGACTTGCCCCGTGAATTAACGTTTTACTTAATAAGAATATATCAATGAGCTTTCATTTTTCTTTAATATATTCTGATAAGTCAATTTCTAACAGAGGCTGTGCTAGGATATTTCCTAGCCTTGCAAAATAACTTATTTCCACCAAATAGAGCACTTACAAAAGGGCAAAGCATTTTAAGCACAAGTATCCTACTAGAGGATCAGAGAGGCGATACCGTTTTCGGTTATTGTACCACCAGCTGGATTATGTGAATTCGTATGGAAAGTAAAACAAAACAAGGCAACAAAGCTGTCAAATGTACAGATAAAAAGCAGAAAATAATAATGTACAAAATAGGATACTGTCAGTTCTGATGCATTAATACATTACGCTTAACTGCAAAGTCAACATCAAATTTTAATAATGCACAACAGGTAATACTGATGAAAGTAAAAGCATAAGGCTTCAGGCCCATGAGAGTTCAAGTCCACACTTTGAAGATGCCAGAATGAGAAAAATGAAAATTTCACAAAAAAATTGCATAAATACAATAAAATGATAATACAATAGAGATGGTTTTCTAATTTGAGCTGTATGTCAATCCTTAGAATCATTCATGCAAGTTAAAAAAAAATAATAACACAGTTTAGGTTTTTTTGTCAATTTTGATGCAATATTACATAATGATAAACTGTATAATTACCAACAATTATCTACTATTCATAACATGGACATTTAAAAAATATGATTACTACTGGGCCTCATGCACGTGCGAGTTCTAAGTCCAACAATGAAAATGCCAATATATGAAATATAAAAAGAAGCCAATTTAACTGGTTTTCAAACTCTAGCTGTATTTTACTCCTACGTTTCTTTCATGTAAGTTTAAGAAGAGTAAGAGTTTTTAATGGTATCTCTGGAGGCAGTGCCCAAAATCATGTTTTCTTCAATTTTGATTACATATTACATAATGTTAAACAGCATAATAACCATCAATTTTTAATAATAAAATAAAAGTATCATGGATATTCAGAAAATGTGACTTGCCTTGTGACTTGCCTTGTCACACCTTGAAAATGTCAATATGTGAAAGATAAAAAATGCCTCTGCTGCGGCCAAGTGGAAATGAAAATTACACTCAACAAATCACCTATTTTCAAATTATGTCTTCCCATAATATAACAGCAATTGTTGATNCAATGTCTTCCCATAATACATCAGCAATTGTTGATCTCACAATGTTCAATGTCTTCCCATAATACATCAGCAATTGTTGATCTCACAATGTTCAATGTCTTCCCATAATACTACAGCAATTGTTGATGTCACAATGTTCAATGTATTGCTGTAGTATTATGGGAATTATTATGACGTATTATGACGTCACAAATTTCAATGTCTTTCCATAATACAACAGCAATTGTTGAAGTCACAACTTTCAATGTCTATCCATAATAACACAGCAGTTGTGGATGTCACAATGTTCAATGTCTTCCCATAATACAACAGCAATTGTTGATGTCACAATGTTCAATGTCTTTCCATAAGACAACAGCAATTGTTGATGTCACAATGTTCAATGTATTCCCATAATACAACAGCAACTGTTGATGTCACAATGTTCAATGTCTTCCCATAATACAACAGCAACTGTTGATGTCACAATGTTCAATGTCTTTCCATAAGACAACAGCAATTGTTGATGTCACAATGTTCAATGTC